TGCGAGCAAATTGTAACGATGCTTTTTGTACAGTCGCTAATTTACAACGATATCTTCAGTTGACTTTATTGCTTGTCAAGTGACATCTTTAATCAGACGTACGCAATTTTTTATAGAAAAAAAGAAACAAACAAATATGATTAATGGTAGAAATAAAAGTCGAAAAAAAGAAACGAAATTCATGTGTGGACGCGAAGAAAATTGTTCTTTCTTTTTTCTTTTTTTTCTCATTTCATGTTGGCAGCACGTAGAAAAACTAATTCTCATAACAAACATCCCATAAATCAGTGAAACATCTAAAACGTAGAATATTACTCGTCGTATAGTTTGTATGCGACATGTCAAGAGAATGTGACATTACCATTACGAGACAATATTTATCTGTAAAGCCTCATATTATTCAAAATTTTCTTCTTCTCTGGCTCGATGAAAACATCAACGAAAATGAACTCAACAACGAAAACAACATTTATTACAGTTCGATGTATCAATTACGCTCAATTATTAATACGATATGCACGTTTAATGATGCGAATCAAAGTATCGATTTTCTTACTGATGTTCAAGATGAAAAAGTTTTCATGATTATATCTGGTTCTTTCAGTCAACACATAATACCTCTTGTTTATGAAGTAGCTCAGCTTCATTCAATTTATATTTTTTGTGAAAACCATCAACCAGATCAATCCCAATGGACAAACGGAATGTACAAAGTGAAAGGTACTTTCACACAAGTCGATTGCATTCTCAAGTTACTGAATCAAGCTGCACGAGAGTGTGATGAAAATTATACCTCAATTAGTTTTGTTTCGGCTAGTGACCTATCATGTCAAAGTCTGAATCAATTGGATAAATCATTCATGTATACGCAGTTACTTAAAGAAATTATATTGGATATTGAATATGACGTTGAATATATAGAAGAATTTGCTACTTATTGTCGGAATAAATATGAAAATAATCAAGCTGCAATAAATTTTCTTGATAAATTTGAAAACGAATATTTTAAACATCTACCTGTTTGGTGGTATACATATCCGTGTTTTCTGTTCTCCATGCTGAATCGAGCTTTGAGAACTTTAGAAGCTGACACTATGATTAAAATGGGATTTTTCATTCGAGATCTCCATAATCATATCACAGAACTCTACTCAGAACAATTAACTCATAATCAAGTACGACCTTTTACTGTTTATCGAGGTCAAGGCATGTCAAAGCTGGATTTTGAAAAAATGTTGAAAACAAGAGGTGGACTCATATCATTCAATAATTTTCTATCAACCACTAAAGATCAAGATGTCGCTTATGCTATAGCCGATAGCAATAGAGGCAATCCTGATTTGGTAGGAATTCTTTTCGAAATGAAGATTGATCCATCCATATCATCAACTCCATTTGCTATTCTCGACGAAACAAGCTACTATCACAACTCAGAAGAAGAAATTCTTTTCTCTATGCATACCATTTTTCGTATTGTTGATATAAAACAGATTCATGGTATCGATCGACTCTTGGAAGTAGAACTCACACTAACTAAGGACAACGATCCACAACTTAGTATTCTTACAGAATTGATGCGTAAAGAAACTAAAGCAACAACACCGTGGGATCGAATAAGTCAAATGTGGCTCAAGTTAGGTGAATTGGATAGAGCCGAACAAGATTATCGTGATCACGTTGAGTTAGTATTTCATCCTGTAGACAAAGCACATATGTACAATCAGCTTGGCCACATAATGACATGGAAGGCGAACTATGTTGAAGCATTGTCGTTTTACCAAAAATCAATAGATATTTATCAAAAAATACGGCCTTCAAATGATCTTACCTTCAGAGGCCTCTATAGTAATGTTGGTGTCGTTTATGAAAAAATGGGAGAATTCACGAAAGCACTATCTTTTTTTGAAAAAGCACTTGAAATCGCAAAAGAAAAATTATCGCCAGATCATGCCGATGTCGCATCTACTTATCACCATATGGGTGAATTGTTCGATAATATAGGAGACTACTCAAAAGCGCTTTCGTTCTACGAGAAAGCACTTAAAATTAGTGAAAAAACACTACCTTCTAAGGATCCAAAGTTGGCACTTCTTTATTGCAATATCGGTTTGGCATATAGAAACAAAGGAGACCATATCAAAGCATTTTCATTTTATCAAAAAGGACTTGCAATTCAAGAGCAAATACTCCCTCAAGATCATGTAAGTTTGGCGACTACTTACCACAACATCGGTGCACTTTTTATCGCTATGCAAGATTACTTGACAGCAATTCTTTATTATGAAAAAGCACTTAGTATTGACGAAAAGAAGCTGCCTCCAGATCATCCAGATTTAGCTTCTACCTATGGTAGTACTGGCGATGCATACGCCGAAATTGGAGAGTACTCAAAAGCAATTTTACTTTACGAAAAACAACTAGAAATCTTTAAAAAGAGACTTCCTTCAAATCATTTCGATCTCGTCATTTCTCACAACAATATTGCCTTCCTATACATGACAATAGGTGACAATACCAAGGCTATTTCATATTTTGAAAAGACACTTCAGATCTGCGAAAAAGCGTCTTCTTCTAGTCACGAGACATTATCTGCTATATATAAAAATATTGCTGTAGCATATGATGAAATGGGAGAGCACACAAAAGCAATTGAATTGAAAGAACATGCTGCCAGAATTAACTAGCTATCAAAAGCTAAAACTGCTCCTGAAGTTCACAGAAAATAGCCAACGCTGGATATTAACAATAACAAGTTGATATAAATGAATGTTTTTCCCTTGAAAATGAGTTGAATGCATTAAATTCATTTGCTTTTTACATACATATATATATATATATATTAAAAGAACGTTCATGCTCGACAAAACAGCTTGACTTCTAAGCCAAGATTGCTCCCAACAGAACTTTTTTCAGTCAAACTCATCGATTCCGTCAATATTTTTAACTTACGAGGAAAACTTTTAAACTGCTTCCTTCCGTATTGGATGGCTTCTGCCTATAGAACCTACACGGCCTCTTGAGACAAAGGTGTAGGTATGGTACGCGTGTGGTTGTGGATGGGGTGTGAGTGTCGGTGTGGGGTTAATATTCAGAGAACATCAGCAAGTAAATCATCACACTCATACCTGTATTACATAGGGGGTGGGTGTGGGTGGAAGTGTAGATGTGGGTGTGGGATGTGGGTGTCGGTGTGAGTATTCTATTATCTCTTCTACCCATAGCCACACCCACACCCACACCCAAAATGAAAAATGAAAAATGATGATTTTGAATTAATTTCTTTATCTCATTTATTTTGCAACATTTCGATCTATTGAATAGTTATTCTCAAGTTTTCTAACCTAATAAATAATCAAACTACTAAATTGATTGTCCGTTCAGTACCCGTAATTTGCATATCAAAATTAAGATAAAGAAATGAATTTAAACTACTAATTCTTTTTTTTTAATTTCATTATTGTGCTCAATTTAATAATGTCGATTATTATTCTAATAGAAGCAAATTACAAGTGATTAATATCAATATTTTGAATAAAATTGATTGTAGTCGATAGCAACTATATTTTTTACTCATGTATGAGATACAAAGAATTTTAAATCTACTTCCCATAATTATAATATTTTTTGTCATCTTTTATTGAAATAATGTTGGCCCAATAACGTTTTCATCCTTATATATTACTCTACAATGAGTTCTTTCCATGCATTGATTGTTAGTTCGTTGTGATCATATACCATATTCAATGTATCAATAATTTCGATTGAGAACATGATATTTTGTAGACTATTACTCATTGGCGAGGATAGATGAAATAATTTTTTAAGTCTATTAAAATTATTTTGAAGTCTTGATTGGTAACAACGATGAGAAGTTTATCAAGGCTTTTTATAAAATGATTGCGTTTTTGAAAATTTATATCTCAACATGGGATAAATACGATTGAATTTAGAAATTAAATTTTAAAAAACATTTAATTCAAAATTTTCCTGAAAGTCTTATGAGTTGTTTTTAACAAATCATGATATTGCTCTTATCCATTACGGAATAATTTATTGTATAAGAAATAAAGAAAGTCGATATGTTTCAATACAAAAAAAACTTTTAAAATGCTTCGTTGCAAACAAAAGCGAGAGTCAGTTTTTATGGAGGAATAAATATTTAGTCTTTGTAAGGTTATTGTAATTTATAGATAGTGTGAATTAAGAGTGTACAACTCATGCCCATGAGCACTCATATGAGCATAAGCAGTTTTATTTCATTTGCAAATGATAATTGGCAAAACGATCATTGAATCTTGTTGAATAGTTTTCCGTCAAGTATCAACATGTTCTAATAAACAAGACCTGCAAAATAGTTTTATTGCCAAGCGACTTAAACTCATATGTGAAGTAAATTGGGAATAGAAATCGACATTTTTTGCGCTTTATCGTTTATATATCGAATTAACATAAAGATTGTATGTATCATAAATGTAAATCTGCATTTACAGCTTAATTGTTAGTAATTTTTTCAAAATAACAAAAACGAGATCCAACAGAATTACAACAAGCAAAAAAGACAGAATAAAAGAAATGATCAAAACAAAAATTAATATAAACCCCTTCCTGTAATAGAAGATCAATTTGCCGGATAGAATAAAAGATTCTCACTATTTAATAAATTTTCGCCTAAGTTAATATATTTACATCAAAGTAAACCTCATTCTCACAACTTCACGCAAAAAAATCTTGAAAAACTAAGATGAGCATTATTTCCTCTATTGAAAAATATCGACATACTGGAAGACTCGAACTCTTCTATTGTAGGAAAGGGTTTACTTGATATTCAGCTAAATAAAAAACAACCAAAAAGAATGCTATATCATATAAGAAAGAAAGAAAACCGACCCGAGTACTACTTAGAGCACCCATAAAAGAGATCTAAAACATGAATAAAATCTTGACTAGGAACATAAAAGTAAAATAAAATGAATATTTAAAAAATGCGATAATATGTCTTTTTAGGAATTTTTGACCGGTGTCGTTACATTCGTTGCTTTTTTATATCGAGATATTGGCAATGGAAGTTTACTTGGTCGCCGTTGTTGTGTTGAAGATGTTGATGTACATGAGTTTTCAGAAAGAACACTTTCACGACTTGATGTTCGACTTAATGTTGATGCTGCTGGTGTATACATTGGAATTGGTATTGGTATTAAGGATGGTTTTGTTTCTGAATCATCTAATGAAATATTATTTAAAAAAAACAACATTTTTAGATATAGATTACTTACTAAGAATATTTTGTGATGCTGAAGGATCATCACCTGATATGGATAAATCACCATTTGATGATGAATTTTGTTGTTGTTGTGTTAAAGGTATTGTTGATGATGCTCGATTAGATTTATCTTTTAAAGACTTAAAAAGAATAAAATGAAAAAAAAATAGAACGATACAAAGAAGAACAAAATTTATATCTACTGAAGTAGGTGTTATTACTGATGATTGTTTTAATGATCCCGTTGATTGTTGTTGTTGTTGCTGATGAAAAATACATGTTGGTTGATGAACAGTAACAAGTCTTGGTTTAAAAAATGTCATTGTTTGAGCAACACCATCGCGTAAAGCATAATTTTCTGGATGTAATTCATAATTAGTACGACCTTTAGCTAAAAGAAAAAGAAATTAATATGTAAAAAACGAAGAAATACACAAACAAACATTGACAACACATTACTGAACAATAAAACATCCATAGGCGGCGAAGCTACAAAGTTTTGGTAGACTAAAGCTTACCCTCGATTCAAGTCTCGTGGGCTCATACATTTGTTTCTCATTATATCAGATTCATAGATTTATGCAGTGTATCCAAAGTCTCGTGCCTTCGTAGTAAAACCGACTTACAATGGAACATTTCTAAGTATCAAATCACAATTGAGTCATCACTGTGCGCATATATTTTAGCAGAATGCTGTGGTTCCTGTCAGGAGCACCACGAAAACAGAGTTTCGAATTTCTAATTGAAGCTTAGCATAGAGACAGGTGTTAATGAGAATAGTTTATGGTAAAAACATGCACCGCTCATATATAGTTGCGTATAGGAACATTCTATTTTTTCTCTATCATATAAAACTATTCCAAAAAATCTTCATATATACTCCAGAAAACGCGTTTTAGGGATTTCGATGTTCCAAACATACTCATCCAAGCAGGTTTATTAGAGTGGTTTTTAGATTCTTCCTAGCTATTACCATCGAGAAGAAAACTCAAAACTATAACTACTCTAGACTTGTCTACCACTCTATATAAGCAGTGCATACTTTTATTATAAACTATTCTCATTAAAATCTGTCTCTATGGAAAATTTCAAGTCGAAACTCAGTTTTTCTGGTGTTTCTGAGGGGAACCATGATATTCTGCTACGGTAAAAATAGAGGATCTTGGCAAAAATCATCTATTAGCCTGAACGATTCTCGTTAGAATCCACATGATGCACACAGTACTTACTCAAAAGCGTTTTCACACTTAGAAACATTCTTCAGAAAATGTCGGGTTCTGCATTGCAAATGACTTGAAGTAGTACTCTTTTGTAATAATTAAAGAAGAACTCCACTGGCAATTAAGTTGCATACTTTTTCTCAACCGTATCAGCTTTTCTAAGTGCAACATGTGAGGTCGAAATAAGAATTTAGCTTTCTGGTGACGATCTCTTATAAAGATTGTTGAGTCCACTCTGAATTTAAAAACGTTCCGCCGCCTATGAAAACACCTACAATCATGTGATGAATATTCTGCCACATTTTATAAAACATCCTGCAATAAGTGATTACACAATGAAGCAAAACAAAATGAATCACACATAATAATATGAAGATGGATAGATCAAGGTACCTGCAGCAACAGTTGCCAAAAATCGACTATAAACATGCATTCCTGTATACAATATGGAGTTTTTAAAAATAATTTCAGTTTAAAAAATATTTATAAAATAACAACATTTATTCAATGTCGTTGATATGGACATAAAATATAGTCAGTATTTATTTTTCACTTGATATGTTTTAGCTGAGAATGAATACTGTAGAGACATATAAATAAAATGTGAGTACTCTGCACTTTGTTCGAGAAAAATTTTCTTATCCCAACCCTACTCCACCCTGCAGGATACAGTTACATGATATAGCACTAATCGAAAAATCAATGTTTTAGAATGTCAACAATATATTGTATCATGTTTCAGAAGTTAATAGACAGCTTGTATCAGTATTTTTAACCCTGCCGAGTTAATATGCAATTAGATATGTTAAAGTGGCTTCAACCAGTGATATGTCAGCTTCATATATATTCTTCTGACAGAATATAAAGCTATAATAATTCTTACAATGTATATAATTGAAGGACAAGTCTCTGGCTATTGTTACTGTCTCTCAGCGAATATATATATTCCTAAAACTAAGCTCGGCAAGTTCACCAATCTCAATAGTTGGACATATGTGAACCTTTCTTCGGAACATTGTAAAAAGTTTATTATCATGGTGATCACGAGCTGAATAAGGTCAAACAATTTTATTGCTCGATAAAACAAGCTGAGAGATAAGTCGAATTACTTACTCAATTGAAAGAACAAGATGCGTTTGTGGCTACTCCAAATTCTTGAAGATTATCATTTATTGACATAAGTTATAGTAGCACTCATACATACTACTTTTAGTGACTAAATCAAACTTTCAAAACTTTCGCATAATAAAGATTCTTAATTGTTATCAGTTGCGAGGTTCAAAATCCATAAAAGAAATTGTGACGAAAAGTCAAAATTTCTGTTTTCTGACATGAAAAATATTCCTTAAAAAAAGGTAAATAAAGTTTAGACTGGGCCACCGGACAATAATTTAAGACTGCTGAACTCGGTAGTTTATTGCGAAGTCTGCCTCATAAATCTAGGTATTGTTATAGTTCGATCATTTCTCTTCAAAAAAGTGATTAAAAAATTAATTTCTTATAAAAATTTGCAATAATTTAAAAGTTTAAATGATTATATATATATTACCTCGACATGGATCATGCCGAACAAGAAATTCATCAAGTGCTGTCCAACCACCACCAACACGAACCATTACTGTTGAACGAAGTATACGAACAAGACGAAGACTTTGCGATTCGCCAAACTAAATAATATATATTTATTTCATTTGAAAATAGATCCCATTTTTTTATTATTGTAAATAATTTACTCGATATCGTCCTTCAGCTATTTGTTGTACATCATATTTTTTTGAACATTGACAAAGAGATGTTTGTCGATTAACTTCACTTTTAATTCTATCAATATCTGCTACCACCGGTCGAATTATCTATTTAATAATAATAAAGATAGAGAAAAAAAAGTAATACCTGCTCATTTATTTCAAATTGATCAATTACTTTTTTTGCTGCTTGAACAGCTTTGTCTAATTCTTTCATTCTTTCATTTGCACGCATAAGAATATTTTGCCAACGCATTTGAACAGATGTCAAAGAATTTCTTATATAGATAGAATCATTTTTAGGTAAAATATATTTTAAATGTATAGCTAATTTATCTAAGTCAGCAAAATGTTGTTTATATATTTCTAGTTGATTTTGAAAGGTTTTATGTTCATCAACTTGTTTTAATAATGTTTGAAATAAAGCAAAACGACGTTGAATTGGTTTTTGTGTATTTAAATGGCGTTCACTTTCAGTTAAATAATCATTAAATTTTTTTAATGATGCATGAAATAATTCAATTGACTGCGTTAATTCAAGAAGCTCTTGGCCTTTTTTTAATGTTCGTTGTTTAACATCAATTAAATGTTCTAAAACAACAATCAAAATAGGAAAATTTGAATTTTTTCGTTTTTATTTACTTTTTAAATCTTTGACTTGTTCGTTGTTATCATCAGTAAATTCTTTATGAATTTGTCCTTCAATATATTCTAAACGATCGATAATTGAAGAAAATTTTGTATGTATTGTACTTTCATTAACTTGTTTATCAATTAAATTAAGTTCATAATAAATTTGATCAAATAATTTTTGTTTAAATTTTATTTCTTGTAATTTATTTTCTAATAAATTATATTTTTTATTTGCTCGTTTAAGTAATTCTTCCCAACGATTATTTATTATTAAAACAACATTTTCATCTTCATAATTACTTTGTTTTAATTGTTCAATATCAAATGATATTAATTCAATATCATTTAAAAGTATACGAAATTTTGCAATGAAGATTTCTAGTTGTTTTATATCAGTAAGATTAATATCAGAAGAATTATCAGTTAAAACAGATAGTTTTATTGTACAAGCATCTAATGATTGAGTTATATCAGCCATAACATCACCAACACGATTTTGACGAAGAGCAGTTTCATAAATGAGACTTTTCCTAAAATAAATAAACACTATATTGAAGTTTAGTTTTTAAATTAAACTACGAGTCATGTGATGTTTCTCTCTTTTCTTTGAAATTTATATTCAAATAATATTTGTTGAACTCAAATCAATAAGTATGTTACTGAAAAGTTATGCTCGCTTATTTTTTTAAATTCGATCAAACTATCAGTAGTTGTAATTTGCTAGCAGAATGATTACTTCGGTTTCTGTACCCGACAGCAGAAATGGGACTGGTTCAGTTCGTAGTACCCCTAATCAACTTTACAGAGGTTCACGGTAAAAGTCATCCTATGAGTAGAACCAGTCAGATGATGCTGAGAAGGAAAACTGCTGCAAGCATCTAGATGAAGATCGATGACCTGTAGCTAAAATTCTTTTTACGCAGTCACTTGAAGGACTGAAAACTCTAATTTGGCACTGGATTGTATAACGAGATTCATTTTAATAAGGGTGTGAGTATAGATATAAGTATTAGGGAGTTGCGGATCCACACTGTTGTGTGTTTGACGGGATCCGCAGCTTTCTTTGAAGTGTGGATACTGATATGGGCCTTCTCTTCATTCATATCCACACCCGAATATGAATACATAGTTAATTTGCTATGATTTTAGTGAATCGTTCATCTCTTATTAACAGGAAACTCAGATTCATTTTCATTTCGCGTTGGGAAAAATTCTATACGTTAGAATTCAGTGAACTGTTCTAATTTAATCTCGGCAATGCCATACATTTAATATAGTTTGAAATGAATAGAATCCTGTAGCTTACTGCTCTTGTATTTTATCTTTTAATTGAGTCCATTTAGAATCAATTTCTACAAATTGTTCTTCAACAATATTTGGTTTTTCTTGTATCACATATTCATTTTGTTGTTCAACATCAGTATAATCTTGTTTTAAATTAATAATATCAATATATTTATTATCTAAATGTTCTTTAAATGTTCGAATATGTTCAAATTCATTATTTGTTTCAATATTTGTTGTAAATGATGATTTATCATCAAACCATGTTGAAACATTTTCTAATTTAGCATTTAATTCATCAGATTTAATCATTGATTGTTTTAATTCTTGTTGACATATATTTAAATCTGTTTGTAATTGATTCCATTGTTGTACTAATTCATATAGACAACGATGAATATCATCTGTTTCTTGTTGATTATCTGATATTAATGTTAATAATTGTAAACCATATTTTTGAAGAATTTCTTGATATTTAATTTCATTATTTGAAAAATCTTTTACTAATTGATTATATTTTTCTTGTTCATTTTCAAGATATTGACGTGATGTTGAACGTGGACGAATTTGTGATAATTGTTGAGAAATATTATTAAGAATCGTTGAAAGTTCATTATATTCTGACCAAAATTTATTAGCACATACTTGAGTTAATAAAAGATTTTCTTCACGTAAATCATTTGTTTGTTTCATTATTAACCAATGTTGAGTTAGTAGAGCAAGTTTTTCATCCGCAACTAAAACAAAATAATACAAATTTTTATAGAGAATGATTTCCTTTTTTTCTATTTTATTTTCTTGACTTTTATAAGTAGGGAGAAACGGAAACATTCTTAGTTTATTCTTTATTCATTACAATGATTAATCATGTTTTACGGTATTTTTATTGTATCGATGACACATTCCAGTACAAATATGGGATATTTAAAATATTAACTGAAATTCTACATCATTCAAATTTGTGTTATTATTGTAGATTAAATCCTTACTAGTAAAGATAAACGTAGACTCAAACCGTTTGGATCGTTTTTGTCTAAATTAGGAAAAATACTTTTATCTACTGAACTACGTAACACAACTTTAATGATCTAAAAGAACTGTTGACGTACAATAGTCTGTACCTCACGGCGTTTTAGCTAACATATGTGTAGAAAAATCTAAAAATTTGTGCGCACATACTACTTCACCAAGTATGTCGATTAAGTGTGCAGTTACATTTCGATGGCTTACGTAATAAAGAGAATAATGATAGATGTTACTCTGGATGGCATCTGTATTGTTCTTTTAGATTTCATAACTCTGAAAAGGAAGGGCTTTGTAACTAAGCCATTCCGTCAATGTGTGATTCTACGTGTAAACTATCTACGGTATTGACTTCATCGATGTTCACTAAGTCTTTCTAGAATTGTTTTGGAATAATTTCAAAGTCAAGTAATGTAATTAATAAGTATCCAAAGAACTTGTATGACTAAATAAGTTTCAAAGCAGAGTTTTGAACTTTCTGATCAAAATTCTTAAAGTATTTCACAAAAAAAAAAGATCGAATAATCTAACCTTTGACTAAATCCATATCTTCTGTATTCGTTATTATTTGTTTAAATGTTTCTATATTTGAATGTAATTGTTCAAGAGCATGTATTCGTTTTTCTAATTCATTGTGAACAACAGTACTATCAAGTAATTGTTCACTTAATTTAATTGGTTGAGCTGATATTGCATCAGCTGTTGATGAAACTAATAATTCTGATAATTCATTCATAGCTAAATCCATCTCATTCATATGATGATGAAGTTCATCAGTGACTTGATTCGATGGTATCGATGAAATCTAAATAAATTAAATGATATTTTTTCGATTATATTTATTTTATTGTTTCGTACATTATCTGTTGTTGTTGTTGTTGATTGATGCACTTCATTAATTTTATCTAAGGGAAGTTTTGTTTTCATAGTTAAACTATAATAATTTCGATTAATTGTTTCTAATAAATGTTCAACTTGATTGTCATTTGAATCAGTTGTTGAAATTTGTAGTAAAAGTTCACCTTTTTGATTTAATAATTCAATTTGTTCATTAAGATTTTCAATTTCATCACGAAAATTTTCTAATTCGTTATCTTTAATTGTTTCGAATTGTAATTGTTTTTCATTAAGTAAAACTAATAAATTATTAGCTAATTGATAAAATTCTTGTAAATCTTCTTGATGTAATTGAATATAATCAAGTGTATCAAAAATATATTCAACATATTCAGACCAAGTTTTATCTAAATAAAAGAAATTGTTTTAGGTATATATGTATGTGTATGAACTATTTACCAATAGACGTAATCTCATTTTGAATAAGATCAGTATCAATATATCGTTGAGCAATGCTTATTAATGTTAAACCAATAGCTTTGTATTCCTCAATAGTGGATGACATTGTTCTAAGTTGATCACCAATATCCTATTTGAAATAAATCAAAACTTTGGAAATATTTGTTCTTATGTGTAAATTGTTTATGACTCAATAAATTCAAACTCGATGAAAGAAAAGGTTATTCTCATTAGAGAAAGGTTTGTTCAATCGATATCTTGCTGAGATGCATTATCAAAGGTCATGAGAACAGAATTTTTTTTTTCCTGAAAGACATTAAACAATTAGCTCATTCCTTTGATGATTCATTAGAAATAAAAAATTTATGCAGGTGTTTTTCCATAAATTCTAAAGTAAATATGTTAGATAATCTATATCAGAATGTCACTATGATAAGTTCAATAGGTAAGACGAATAATTCTTCTTAATTTATGATTCATTCTTCGATGTTTTTTTTCCTCAAATTTTGTTTATGTTATTGTCTATTATTGATTCGTAAACTATCTAGAGATTAAGTGTATATCGTTCTCCGTAGACTGTGATGGACATTACTATCTGTCACAATATACAAAGACAGAAGGATAGTCGAGGTCACAATGTTCGTCAATCGTCCTACTATTACATGCATTACAGATGCTAATGCTAAAGTTAATCGTGCATATGAGGGTTTTCATTGATGGACAATAAGAAAATAATGGTATATACTACATGCATTTTCAGTCTTTGAATAGAAGATGTTGTGGAACTATACCGAATAATAACTGAACATTTTAGGCACTCAAAGCTACATTTTGGTAGATGTTTTAAATCGAGTTCCGAAGAAAATAATTTATAAATTTACTTTATATTTTTTTAGCATAACAATAATTTGTTGACTATCTAATGGAAGTATTATAGTTTCATCGATTGTAATTAATTGTTTAGTTTTTTCAATTGAACTTTCAGCAATTTGTTTAGCTAATTGATATTGATTTGTTTGTTGTTGAATATTTTCTAATAATTCTAAATATTGAAGTAATCGTTGTTTAATTAATAAATAATATTCGATTAAATCATCCGTTTGTTTTTGATAAATTAATGTTAAATTTGAATGATTTACTGGTTTCGATAATTTTAATTGTTCATATAAATTTAAAAGATTTGGTGATGAATAAAAATTAATTAATTGTTCAGTTAAAATTTTTAATTGTTCAATAGGTAATTTTGAATGTTTAGTTAATAAATCTTGACATAAATCAATTGTTAATGTTTGTTTTAATAAACGATCTGTTGTTAATAAAAATTCTTCAATTTGATTTTTAATTAAATCATATTGATTTAATATTAAGTGTCGATTTTTAAGAATTAATCTTAAATCATTTTGAAATTTTTCATAATGAATTTTATATTCATTAACTTCATTTTTATATTCTAATATATCATTTTTATCTTCAATATTTTTTGTTTCTAATAAATCATTTATTAATTGATCATATAATGTATGATCAATAATTAAATCTTGATCATTATTTAATAATAATTCTAATGCAGAAAAATTTATATCATTATTTTGTTTTATTTGTTCAACATAAAGACGTATAGAATTTGAATATGTATCAATTAAATGTGTATGTTCAAGATGAAATTCATTCAAACGTGTTGATAAACGATTAATATGTTCATTATATTGATTTGATTGTTCATTTAATAATTGAAAATATTCTTTAATTAATCTTAAAGAATTTTTGTCATCATTATCAAATAATTGTTCAAGATTTATTTTTATATTTATATCAGAATCAAATGAATATTGACGTGTACGTAATTGTGCATGAAATTGACGAAAATTTATTACTTGTTCGTCTAATCTTGAACGATTTAAAGATAATGGTTTTGAAAAAAAATCATTTTCAATTGAAGATAATAACCAATGATATAATTCACTAATACGTTCTTTTATTGTTTGACGTTCATGAATAAAACGTTCGATTAATTCGAAATGATGCATTAAACGTTGTTGAGCATCATTATAACGTTCAGTATGAGAATTAAGCAAAATAAAAAGCTAAAAAAAGGCGTTAGATAGAACTTTTGTTTTTCACATGCATCATAACGGTTTGTTTTCTCGGTTTTTTTCTTTCCACATACTATAGACTGTCTGCAAAACAACATACTAACGTTACTTGTTATGATCTTCTGTACGTCTTTTTTTTTCTCCTTTTCTTTTTTTTTTCTCTTGGAAACAAGAATTAGTGTTGATGTAAGGTCTTACTTGTTCTGCTTTTTTTTCTTCGCGATGGAGTACAGAAAGAATAGAAGGACATAAAGAGAAGAAAAATCAGCACGAAGCCAGATGATTTGAACCTGATTCTGTTTCTTTTTTTCTATTAAAAGAGCCCTCAATTATAACTCACATGTTCTTTTACTTGATTATGAATATGGTTATTCAATGCTACAACTGTTGATGTTGAAGTGGGTTCATGTGTTGAAAGCATACGTAATTTATCTAATTGCTGTTGAACATTAAGTAAAAGACTTTGTAATATAGTATTATCCTAGTTAACAAAAAAAAGAAGCAGAATAAAAAATAGAGATACTAGTTCAACAAAATTTTACATCTTGATTCTTTTCATTAATAGCTAAATATTGATCAAATTCATTCATTGATTTAAGAAATTCTTCATCCAAATGATTAATTTCATTGAATAATATCAAATAACGTTCACAAATGTCTGATATTTGTTTACAATGTTTAAGAAAATCAAAATAATTTGTTGATAATAATTCTAATGATTGTTGAAGTTCATTGAAAATCATTGCTGATTTTCCATCATCTGTATTTTCAGTTGCTTGTTGAAAATCTTGTATGATTAAATCAATTGCTTGTAAATATTCTTGAAGATATGTAAGATCATTTTGTAAATTAATTCCTGTATTTAAAATATTCTTAAATTTATCATTATCAATATATAATGTTGATAATTGTAAATTATTTTCAATTTCTTTCTCATTAATTCTAAGCCATTCAGTTAAATAAGCATATTTTGTATTAAATTGATCGACGCGAATAAGAAATTGTTCAATGATATTCCTCAAACCATTATTGATATCAGATATCTTAATTAGAAAAAGTGAAGATAAAATCTTTTCCAAAAAGCTTCGAATGGAAGTCAAACAGTTGCTGTTTAGAGTCTTAATTTCCCTCAGGCTCTCATCTAAACAGCTTTGTTGGAGTCTTCGAGTCAATCAAATCTTAATAGAGAATCCTTCGAGCTACACAAATGTTTTTCTAGATACTTACTACTGTAGCTATTATCATCAAGAAGAAAACTTAAAAATACAAATGCTCTAAATTTATGTTCGCCATTATAAGTCGCTGTACAAAGTTACGATAATTTTGCCGATTTTTATTATAGGATGGGGTAGTGGCAGCAAAAATTGAACAGAAGATTTTTGACTTGAAATTTTAATTAATAGTAGGTATGATGATTCTAACTATATTATTAACATATAAGTCAAAATGCTTTCTTGAAGCATCTAGAGCTCAAAAGTAATTTGATTTCCGAAATGATCAATATCGAGAAATTTCACATATTGAATACTTTCGCAAGGAGACAATCGTTTTGATAGAAATGTTAACGATATTCTTAGAAACATTAAATTTAGTACTTCAAAACAAAATTTTAAATAAAAAATCTTTTGTCGGTAATCCGTCATGTGATAAAAGTTCAGCAAAATCATGTTTAATCTGCATTCTGAAAAGGAACAAGGTACGTTACAGAACTTGACAAAATGTTCCGAGAGTTGAAACGAAATCGAAACCTATTTCAGATACTATAGAGCTTGAAGAAGCCTTGAGAAGATTTCGCAGGCTTCTACAAAACCTTAAAAATGTTTCGATTTCATTTCAATTTCAGTGTTGAATAATCTCTTGGTGTAAATACTTTCATGATTATTCTAGTCTTGAGATCTCCTCAATACGCCCAAAATATGAGCTTAAAAATAATGAACTACATTCAGTGAATACGTCCTTCGTCTCTTGCTAACGAAATCTTCTATCCCATAAAAATTATTTCCTGGTGTAAACCTCTCGTTGTAATAGAAACTTTCAGGGCTTCTAAAATGTATCCAAAAATTTTAGATCATGCATCAACAAAAAATGAAAATAAGTTCTTAAAATTCTTCTTAATCATGAGTACTTGACGTCTGAAGAACATTTTTTATACATAGACAGTGTCCGGCCAAGACTAATTGAATATCATCTGCGGAGACTTACTCCAGAGGCAGATGTGAACAAGATGGTGTCGATCTCAAGAATAGTTTTTTTTTTGTGGCCGGAATCGGAGTCAAAAGTGATTGGGCTCGCTTGTCACTAGATGGGTCTTCTATATCTAAGAATGGTTTAGCAAAGATATTTTCAGGTTCATTGTATTTGCTAGATGAACTTTTGCTGCAAACTTTGCTTTTTCATTGCTAAGAAATAATTTTTCGACTAAATTCTATACTTACTTCAACTCGTTTATCTTCAAGATCTGTGGTTAGTATTCCTAATTGTGGATTAATATTTGTAGCTCGTTCAATAAGATTATGAATTATGAATTTTTCTTTTTCAATTTCTGCATGTAATTTCTAAACAAAATGAAAAACAAAAATCTTCTTTTATTGTTTTTCTTTCAATTATACTTTAATATGTTCCACGTTTATCCGAAGTTCATGAAGATTTTCAGTTAGATAGACATATTGATTTAATTGATTATGTAACAATGTTAAACGACCAGCAACATCATGCATCTCCAGAATTAACCGATTTTCATCATCCTAAAGAAAATAATAATTATAAATAGTTTATTTATCTAACACCAAATGGTTTCATTCATATGAACAAAAAACAAAAACATCATGCAGAAAACGAGCAATTTGGCTTTTTGATTTATTTTACGTGAAATTTTCATTGTCGAACTAATGAAGATTTATCTGAGTAAAATAAATAAAATATGTTTTATATTTTGTATACGCATAAATAATCATTGTTTCGTTTCAATTATTTATTCAATTCATCGGAATGAAATTTACCTGTATTTTTGAAGTTGATTCAACTGAAACTGATGACTGTAATACATCATTATTATTATCGATAGTTGATAATAATGATTGTTCATTATTAGAAATTTTTGTTGCTGATGAAACATTATGTATGTTTTCAATAGGTTCATTTGATTTTCCATTATCCTGCTTATTTGTTAATGATGATTCCTGAAAGTTGTAAGAAAATTAGTTGAATGTTGATGAGTGAAAAACACGATCAATACGCTAATGGTTGTGAAGAAACATACACATATATATATAGAATAACATGTCACTTGTTAAAATACAGTGTTAGATTAAACCACATATTTTACATGCATTGTAATTTAAAAATTGAGACAAGAAGAAAAGAGTTGACTATTTTCTTCTGTTAAATTACAATTGAAAAATGTTGATGTACTAAAATTATTTATGAAAACAACTATAAGAATTTGTTTGACAATTCAATAAACAAAAAAAGTCTACGTGAATAATTATATTGATTTTAGTAAACTAAATTTGTTATTTTCCAAGTGATTTGATAATTATTTTTCACAGATGTTAGTATACAAGAAATTTTCTAAGAGAAAATTACAACTAATACAAAATTTATTAAGTCTTTACAAAACTTTCTTTTATCTATCTGCTTATTATGCTTTTTTATCTACTTTTTTTAATTTCAAATAAAAATGACTTTCGATAAAATGAAAGTCACTTATAAAAAAGTTTAATTATGCTGTTTTTAAATTATTTTAATTATAAATTCACTCAAATTAAAAATTGTCAGTATTTCTATAAATAATTATTTATGTTATTATAATTATTTCAATTAAAGATTAGAATTTTCAATTCTACAAAAAAATTAGTCTATATCCCACCTACTAATAAGAATCATCATTACTCATGATGTATCTAACTATAGATTTCACAAAACAAAACAAAACACTCAATAATGTTTTTCGTATAAAATTATTGTTCTTCTTCTTAAAACCAAAATTCTTTTTATTTATTATTTCTTTGTTCTTCCTACTGATAACAAACATTTCATTTTTCATATACATATATTTTAAATCTTTCTCTATCTTCTTGTCTCTATTTTTCTTTTCAAGACAAAAAAACGAAAAAAAAAAAGAACAGTGTACAATTGTAATAAAAGGGTGCAGCGGTAGAGTGCATATATATACTAAAAGAAAAAAAGGGTTCTCTACGTGGGCTGATTTCTTAATTCTTTTTTTTTTTGATCTAATACTAGCACAAATTGGAGACGAATACAAAATAGACGTTTATACACAAACAGAACATACAAGATATGAATTTTTGTTCTGTACACATAACAAAGGATAATAATAATAATAATTGTAACAAAAACAACAAATGAAGAGATTCCTAATTGATATATATACGTGTATATATATATATATATATGTCAAAGTTCATTGTACGAAAATAGATAATGAAGCAGAAGAAGAAATTGGAACAAGTGTTAATAAATAAAAGTAATAAGAAAGAAAAAACATCAAATCAAAAGACAAAGAAGACTTAATGTGATCATAGTCATTAGAAGAAGGATGGACCATGGATGCCACCAAACTCACCTAGAATAAAGAGAGAAAAAGAAAATAAGTGAGATTATTATTTTTCTTTTTTATTATTATTATTATTAAAACATGCAATAAAACAAACAAACAAACAAGGAAGCAAGCATTTCATAGTTATTACTCACATTTGCTAATAACGATGGTGACACATATACGTATATAGAGGTTTAAGGTACAACAAACATGCATTGCATAGAGAAGGAAATACCAAATATATATATATTGATTAGCTTACCTTTGATGTGACTGTTGATGAAGAAGATAATTGTTCTTCTAAAAATAAAAAAAAAATCGACATTTTAAAAAATATCTACAAACATTTTTTTTTTTTAATATTTATTAAATTTACGTTTTTGTTGAAAACCCGATGATGTTCGTCCACCTTGTGATTGATCCGATGAATTATTTGTTTGTTGTATTCGACTTGTAACACTTGAATAAAATGAATTTCCACCAAAACGTTTCGAACCACCACCACCAGATCCAAATGTATTATCATCATCATCATCATCTCTATTATTTCCACCAGTCCATCGTGTTCTCCAATCATCATCACGACATGTTCGTGTTGGACTTGAACCTGTACGTCGACGACTATTATATTTTAAATCACTTCTACCATCAAAACTTAATGGACTAATAGCACGTGTTTTTGATTTAATTCTATGCCAACCACTACCTTGTGAATCTTCATCAGCTGAATCCGGTGCACTATTATAATCAAAATGTAATGAACTTTTAGCTAATGAATGTCTTCGATGTTTTCTTGATGTTATTTTTGCAGCAACTGTTTCATGATTAGCTTTAATTGGTACAAGTGGTGCACCAACAATTGCAACAATACCATGACGTATAGCTTCACGTATAGAATATTGTGTATGTGTATGTGTATCATAAATTAAACCTGATTCTGAATCAACTAAACCACGTTCAATAGCATCTTGTATTGTATATTCACGACTAGTTTTAGGATCAAATAATTTCATACGATTATTATCAAGTAAATTTTTTCTTATGGCTTTTTCAAAACCAACTGATTCATTACGTAATGGAAGAAATACTTCACCAGCATTAACATCAAATTGTGAAAATAATTTTCTATGATTAAATGCTAATTCTAATGTTGTTATAATTTTATTTGTATAAGAATCAATAACTTGTCCATCATTATCTATACGTATACCATCTAATGCTTCTTTTAATGTCAAAAAACGTCCACTTGTTGGATGTTCAATAATTGTACTTTGTCCATCAATTAAACCACGTTGTATAGCTTCTTTTAAATTTAATTGTTCGCCACTATGTGGATGTTTATATAGACCTGTTCGAAGATTAAGTAAACCACAACGTATAGCATCTTCAACATTCATTCGATGTAATTTTGATTCAACTAATCGTGCACGATATAAATTTATTTTAGCTGGATTTAATTTACCACCATCACGACGATTTATTAAACCTAATGATAATGCATCATATAATGTTATTGGACCTTGTTCACTATCAGCAAATGCAATACCATTTACATGTATATGACCACGTTCAATAGCTTCCATTAATGTCATATAATGTTCGGTAGCTGGATCACGAAATGTACCTGAAAATGATGATGAAATAATCATGATAGAAAATGTTCGATTTAAGTTTGAGAAGATTTGTATTAGATTGAAATAGGATTCTTTTTACAGAAGTTGCATGAAGCTGACTATAAATAGAGCTTGGTAAACCCTGTCAATAGGACTTTTTTGTCACCTTTCTGATTTTCCACTATTTAAATGCATTAACCCTCTATTTCTTATCAATTCGATATAATCTCGAGGCACGAAGAAGTCTCCATTGTCTGCAACGATTTTAGTATGGATCTTTTCTCAATTAATAGCTACGATCGTGAAAATTTGATTAAAATAGCACTTTCATCGGATAAAATTTTCACCATAAATCGTTCCAATTAGTCGAAGATATAGGACGCTTTTCGATGATTCTCATCAACTCTTATATGAAGATTACTTCATGAAGCCGACAAACTAAAACCACTTGACATGATATTCTTATTGATGATAAAGGTAGCGGTGAGCTATCCGACACATCATGAGATTTGCCTTCTATCTGCTCTTCCTGAAGATTGATCAAATCCTTACGATCAGAGTTCAATATGCTACATTTGTGGTCAAACAATGAGACTAAAAAAAAATAAAATTTGATGTACTTTTTGCGCGACTAGTGTGTATAAGAGTCAATATGATTTATTGAATTATTTTAATTTATGCTATGTGGATTTATTATACATAGTTCTAGTTAAAGATTATATTCCAGTCCTTGACAAAAGTAGCTGCTCCCTATGAAGTGCTATTTTTCTTTAGGATATTAAGCTGATATTTTGGGCACATGCGTACAATAATAAACTTTGATCGCAGGCACCAATCTGTTCTACATTGGTTCACACGTACTGAATAACTTTTGTTTTTTTTTCTTTCTAGCGCTAAAGGCAGTCCCATATGTCGATTTTGTTATTGTCAAAAGCCGTAACACATAATCAATATGCTAATAATTAGCATGCACTGAGATAGTGAATAAATGTTGTAGCGCTAAGACTTTCTACTAAAATTTTCAAATGATTTTATTAAACTCATTGTAGAAGAAAACCATCTTACTAAGAACTATCAGTTCAATATCATAAAGAAAAGTAGCACTTTTTGTGGAGCAACGACTATTGCTGAGGACTGTAATTTATTGAATATAATCGTTCAAAAAATAACATTTTTGACTTTTCTTTTATTTGTTTAGTTAACATTTAACTTTGTTACTGATGATCGGACATAGTGTACTTTCACATACAATGTAATTTTCAATTATGTGTATCATATAAGTCGTAATGACCTATGAATATCCTGAAAAATGGTTCGAAGCTTTAGTTTAATGATGCCAAGATAATTCTGAAACTTTCACAATAAACTATTCTTGCAAAAGTCTATCTCTGTGCAAAGTTTCGAGCCGAAATACGAAAATTATTTCATCTTGTATACCTGAGGAGAATCATATTTATGGTGTCTCAAAATGTCTTTAAAGCGTATTATCTCGGCGGCATTAAACTAACAATCACTGAACTTAAAAGTGATTAATCAGTTGGAAGGCTTCCCTTGTAAATCTTTACATCGCTTTGAAAATTCGAGATACTTTATCTCGATTATTTGTATTCTCTAGCAAACACTTTACATATTTTGCAGATAATAATTAAATCATAATTGACTGTTAGTTTTAGAGTATGATCCATTGGATTAAAACAAGCCGACAAGCTCTATTATTCACAAGTGTATTTTGATCTTTCGAATAAAAAAGATTCTGTGATTCGTTTCTTCTTACCTGTTTCAGCTACATAAAAACCAAGTCGAATAGCATTTTGCATTGATAAACCTAATGGTTTTCGTTCAACATGTTCACTTATTTCAGCTTGAACTAAATTTTTATTAATAGCTTCTTGTATTGTCATTGTTTCACCAGTTGAAAAATCAGTGTAAGTTTTAGCTTCTGTATCAATTATTTGATTTTTAACAGCTACAGCTCCTGATTCCATACGATCTAATACATTATTACGTACACCATGAATTTTATATATAGTTATACGTTTTTCTGTTATTGTATCAGTTATTAATTCTAAATCATATTCTTCAAATCGATTTTGACTTATAAGTTCTACATCGAGTAATTTCTTTTCAATAGCTTTATCTAATACAAAGAAGAAAAAAAAATATATATATATATATTCAATAACTTTTTTTTCTTTGTTTTTATATTTTATTACCAAGTGGAATTTTCACACCATATTTTCGATCATGATAAACACCTTGTGCATAATTAAGTATGCCAATAGCTTGTGCTTCTAAACCACCAATTTTTTCTTGTGATTCACTATCAACAGCTACACTTTTAACAATAAATTTTCTCACAATTTCTTGTACTGATGATGTCAACATTTCTGTATCTTCTTTTGTTTCAATTATTGTTGCATAAACTAAACCTTCATTTATTGCTTCAGCTAATTCATATTGAACATTCGTTACTAAATCTCGATAACTACCTACAAAAAAAAGATTTTATTAAAAATAACGATCAAATTATTTCAATTTTTTCTCAAACAACAAAATCACATGTGAAATGGGGCATTAAGTTTGAATTGTATTAATAATATGATAATAGCTAACGAATTAAAGTAATGCTAAAACAATATTGACGAAAGTTTAGAAGACGAGTTGCAACAAGAGATGTGTGGGCAGAGTTCGAACTCATTTCCGAGCTCTAGCCATCGGATACAATAAACCAAAAAAACGTAGCTTGTATCTTCAGGACGACTATCTGATTTCGATTAGAAAATCCTATTGACCGTATCAGTGTGGTTCAGCTGGGTTTGTATTCTAAAAACGTGTAGGAAATCGGATCCGGATCACCAAAATATTCAATAAACTAGATTCGAGTCTGAAGATTTTGGATTCCAACTGGCTCTTTGTGCGAGATCAAGTTTGTTTTAGTTCGGGTCAGATAAATTCATTTTTTCCTTAGCTGCAATCAAGAGAAACCTATTCCAGAATTTATTTGTATTGAATTTTTAATAATCTTAAGTATCCAGCTTTTGATTTCTTTTGTTAGTGATTTGCACCCGTTTTTATCTTTTCTCTATTGAATTATGCTTTGATTGATATGAATTATCATAGAAAATTGAGCTATAATCTTTCTTCCTACTTGCGAGAACTTATTTTTTTCTCATAGTTTAGTCTTTGTTACATCTCTCGTTGTAGTAGAATAAACAATTTTTCTTATCCGTTATATAAATAGACTTTTTTATGGCTTCATCAATCAATGATAAGCTAATGTTGGTTTTAAGTTATTTGCATCCATTTGTCTGTCCAAAAAGGTAAGTAGATCAAGACGTCAATATAATGAAACTTTTCTTAAAACATTCTTTTGTTACAAATTGCTATCATCAATCATGTTTAACTAGTAAAATTCTAAGTACAATACATAGATATTATCATTTGTCAGCTCAATTATTTATGAACCAATCGATTCTATATAATTAGTTGTCTTCAATTGTTTCAACGAAAGAAAATGACCTTGAATCTAACTATGTTATGCAAAACACAATAATTTCTTTTCGTCTAAACACAAGGCAATGTCAATTACTAGACTGATCTTTCTGAAAAAAGACCAAATAAATAATAAATATACCAGATGTCAAAACATGCCATATTAACAAAACGACAAAAATAAAAAGGAAAACATTCTATAGATCTATAATCAATATCTCATTCATCAAAAAAAAAAAAATAAAACATATCTTTTTCTTACCAACTTCTTTATCAAGTATACCCAAATCAATAGCTTCTGATACTTTAATTTCTTTTTGTGTTAACGGATGTATAACGGATGTAATAACATATGTAGCTGTTTTTGTTGCTATAGTTAATTCATCTTCATCAACAGATATTATTGATGGTGGTCTTATACTATTATCTGATGATGATTCATCATCATTACAACGTATATAACCAGCTTGTATAGCATCATATATAGTCATAACATCATTTGTATCAAATTTACGATATTCATTTAATTGTATATCCAAAATACCTTGTTTTAATGCATCACGTGGTAAAATTTTTTTCATATTACGTGTATCATAAACCCATTTAATATTATATGTTTGTCCATTAATAGTTACTGTTACTATATCATTTGTTGTATTATATTCAGTAGCACCAATAAATTTTAAATAAATAGCTTCATGTAATGATACTTGTGATTTATTATATGGATTTATATAACGGCCATACATTGGTTCTAAAATTTGTTTACGTACAGCTTGTCGTGGAAATATTCGACGTTTTGTTGATGAATCTAATACCCAATGTATCATATAATCAATACCATCAACATGTATTGGTAATGATGCTGTATCTGGTTCAATACCCATATAACCTAATTCAACAGCTTTTTCAAATGAATATGTTTGACGATTTAATTTTTCATCATAAAATATGCGTTGTTTCGTATCAACTAAACCACGTTGAAAAGCATTTTGTAATGGTAAACGATCACCTGTTGCAGTATTCATGACCCAAACAACACGATATGGTTGACCTTTAATCATCATTATACAATGCCATTGTTCCCATTCTTCTTCTGTCCATGATTGTTGTTCATCATAGGTATAATCAGTTGTTTGTTGTTTTGGTAATGGAGAAGTTTTAACATGATTATCTGTTATATCAATATATTCTTTTTTTATTGTTGTTTGAGTTGTTGATGATGTATATGGACGTTGATGATCATCAATAATAATTTCACCATGATGTATACGTTGACCTTCACGTTGACGATCATCTATGTGAATGGCACGTGGTGGTGATATAGGTCTTTGTGGACGAGTTGCTGGAACAACACGAACCTAGAAAAAAAAAAGAAATTAGAAGATTTTTGTTTTGTAGTTGAGAAGTATTTTTTTTATTTTAATTAATAAACTATGATGAAAACTTTTCGATTGATTTTTTTTCCAATGAACTTTATCGATTTAATTAAAATCTAAAAGTTATCTCTATTACCTCGTGTTCACGTTGTGTACCATTTATAATAAGTTGATCTTTAGGTGGCGGTGGTGCATATCTATCACCTTCAATAACAATTTCTCTATGTGATGTATGTCGATCTTCTTTAATATCAAATTTAGCTCGACGATTATTATTTATACTATCATCAATAACAACTTCTTCAATATATTGTTGTTTTTGTTTTTCATTTGATTTTGCTCGATTAACTCCACTACGATTAATAAATACTTCTCTATCAACAATATTTTTTGTATGTTGTTCGATAATTTCTTCTTCACGTGTAATAACATGTTGTTTTTTATGTCTTGGTAAACGTTGAATAGATTCAATTTCAACAACATCTTTATCACGTTGTAAATATTCAGATTCATTGATTTCATAAGGTGTACGTGGACGTGCTTGTGATTCAATACGTATTGATAATTTTGAGCGTGAATCATTTGTATTACCATACGGTTCTTGACTTATTATTGTACGACGTTTTTCATTTAATACTTGATCTGTATTATTAAATATTATTTGTGATGATACAGCTTGTACTTGTATATAACCACGTTTTACAGCATCACCTATATTTATTTCATCACCTGTTATTGGATGTATATAAACACCTTTTTTATGATCAAATAATTTTTGTTGTATACCTAAAATATATCAATAACAGGAAAATTCCTTTATTTGTTTTATTCAAGTCTTTTTTTTATTACCTTCTTGAAGACTATAAACTTTATCTGTACGAATATCAGTAATACCAGTTATTAAATAAAAAACTTGTTCATGTTGATCACCATAAAATGATGGTGGATGTTGATCATGAAATTTACCAATAATTAAACCTTGTTCATATGCTTCAAGTATAGTCATTTGTTTTTGTGTAACTGAATGATAATATATTGTTATATTTGAATTTAATAGACCTATTTTAATAGCTTCATTGACACCTAAACGACGATTAGTAACAGGATCAATAACTTGTTCAATAATTAATGTTTTTCTATAACGTTTTGAATGTTGATCAATTAATTCAGTAAATATTAAACCTCTTTCAATAGCAACACTTATTGGAAGATTTTCACCTGTTACACTATTTACATAATAACCTTTAGCATGATCAATTATTCCTTCATCAATAGCTAAACGTATAGGAATTTCTTGACGTGTTTTAGGATGTATAGCACTTTTAAGTGTATATGTTTTAGTTTCTTTAACTGTACCACGTTTATTTGTTCCTAATATATCTTGATTTGATGCTGATTCAACTGGTAATGGTTGAGCACGTATATGTCCTTGTGCAATAGCTTCAGAAATAGATAATATTTCATTTGTTTTTCGATTAATATATTGTCCATTTTGTTTATCTAATATACCTAAACGTATAGCTTCTTGAACTGTTAATTCTTTATTATTAAGATAATCACGAACACCTAATAAATGATAAGATCGTGTTTCACGTATTAATGATGTTGATATAACATATTTATCATTTTGATGACTTGATGATTGTTGTAATGGAGGTTGTTGTTCAACGATAATAAAACCTTTTGTCATAGCATCATCAATTGATATTGATTCTTGTGTTAAATTATCTATATATAACCCATGATAAGGATCAAGAATTTTTGTACGTATAGCAATATTTGGATCAACAAATGTATTTAAACGATGATCAAATACACTTGAAATAATAAGTGATTCAGTTTTTGATATAATATTATATGATTGTGGGTCACCAACTTTAAGAATACCCATTTTTAATGCTTCACCTAAATCTAATTCTCGTGATGTAACACGATCGATAATACGATGATTGTTTGGATTTATTAAACCACGAGAATAAGCTTCACGTAAATCGTAATTACTGAAAATATACAATAAATAAATAAATAAACAAATGAAGAAGAAACGTTTAATGATTTGTTTTCTTTTCTATTCGTTTTTTTTCTTTAGTTGTAGAAAAAAAACACATGAATGAATATGGCTTCAATTTTTTTTTGGTGATGTGTCAAACTCAATATATATGTATGTAACAAAGATTTTTCTATTTGAAAAGTAAGATAAAGAACAGACTTTTGTCTTATATGTATATATTACATCGATATATCAATTTCTTATTCATATGTTAAGCAGAAAATGAACGTGCTCTATACGCAACTATGGTAGAATTCCATACATTATTAACTGAGCACTTATTACGTCTTTGCTTGCTTTTCTTTGTCCACTTATAAGAAAACAAACATATGCACAAAAAAAAAGAAAGTCTCCATTTTATATTAAAGAATAATATCTGAGTAAAACGAAATCCACGGTTTTTTCTTCTTCTTTTTTTTTGTTTTATTCTTACTTACCGTTGTTCGAGCGTATCGACCACGTAGGCGCTACGCGAGTCTAGAATATTTGTATCGATCGCTTCTTTTAATGTAATGGTCGTTGTTGTATTAGTTGTGGTTATGGTGGAGTCTGCGCCAACGGCAAAAGGACGATTATTCACCGACAACGGCGACGTAGAGAGAAGATTTTTGCTGTTGGTTGTAGTCGTAGTCGTATGTGGCGTCGAAGACGATGTAGAAGAAAAATGGTTGTGAGGGTAGCGATGTTGATCGGGCGGCGATGTAGAGGAAGAAAAAGGCAAAGAAGAAGAAGAAGAAGAAGAAAGAACGAATGGAAAAGGAGAAGAAAAGAGACCCGTTGACAAATCGAGATATTTGCTATTGACCGCATCAACAAACGAAAGATTTTTTCGTTGTGTCATTTCATTGGATTTTAAATTTGTTATTATTATATTACTTTTAACAATTGATGGCGTTGACTGTTGTTTTTGTATAATAAATCTTACTTTTTTATTATTTGTTAGATCATTATCTATTCCAAATGGTGATAATAATTCGTTTGTTGGTATAACATATGTAGTTTCAAGTGAAACTGAATTGTCTGATGATGATAAAGGATATTGATGATGACGATCGACAGTGACCTTTCCGTGTGACAAGTCAATAAAACCTATGAGAAAAATAACAGATTGTATGAAATTATCATGAATCTTTCAATTTGCATAAGCATTCAGAGAGAGTGAGAGAAAGAAACAGAAGAGTATTAGATGTTTGTTCTTCACTTGAAAATTTTTTCCATTGACATATGAGCTTCATTTTTACAATGACGAGAATATATAAATGAATGACGTAAAAAGGGACATGAAGAAATAATGTATATGAATGAATAAATCGGCAGCGTCCATACAACAACGGTCGGACGGACAATAGAGGAAGCTGTAGAAGAAATGTGAAACAGAGAGAAAAAAAAGAAAGAGCATGCACATTTAGCATACAAGCTTCGATTAGGTTGTATTTTTTTTTTACTGCTTTTACCCTCTCTTCATATGTACACACTTATACATATGCATTCACCATCCGTTCTCTCTCTCTCTCTCTCTCTCTCTCACTTTTTCTTCTCAATATAAAAACGAATGAACTAACTGGCTCAGCGCCACATCCACACGCACACATGTGACAAACGAAGAGATTAGATCTGTGTCAATATCATCATTGCACATCAATCTCTCATTATAGTCCTTGGGTTGTATATCTATTCGAATGACCACACTCATGATATAAATTGACAAAAAGAAAATGGGTGGAGTGTAAACGAATGTTATAACAGACATCCTATTCTATTCTATGCTATGCTATACTATTAGTGTCAAAACTAACGTAGGCATTAATGATAACAATAACTAGATGAAAGATTGTTCTATGATCTATACATTGCTTTGAGTTAACTGTCGAAGAGAGATGCCTGTTATCATGGAAAAACTATGTGTAAAAAAACAAAAGCCTAAATATCACTTATGGTAAGATAAATAGCTTTTCGTTAATGCAAATATCCTTTTTCTAAGATATTATTGTCATCAGCTGTTGTTTATTAGTATGTATATTCTTAACAAATAAACATCGAATATACTAAATATATATATATATATTTATGTATATAGTTTTTGATCACAATGTCCAATTATTGTATGCTTAACTTGATACCAAAAAATAAGACAGCATTATACACATGGATTAAATCAATGATAGGAGAAAGTTTATTTGAGCATCTCATTTAATCACAACAGAAAATGAACGAAGTGAAAGAAGGACGATCGTAGTATAGTCTAACCCTTATTTGATATAATTTGACCTTCTTCATGTGCATTTAATCATAAAAAAACCGAGAAAGAAAAACTAAAGAGTAAAAATGTAAATGTGCTTGCTGCGATCGACCTTGTTCACAGGAGAGTAAAGTATCTTCTTATCTCATATATATCCTATAATTATTCTTGTGCCTCTTCACATGTGTGTGTGTTTGTATGGATGTGCCTATATGATTATGTAGTAGATTTTTTTGATTATAAAGAAGAATAAAAAAGAAAAAATCTAGCATTACAGATATAATATCAATCGATCTATCAAAGAACTAAGGTGATAAGCGATAAAGAAACACAACATGGTCAATTACTTTTAATAACATTACTATCTTGATTACCTGTTTCATCATTTTTTTGTTGATTCTGTTTTGCGGACGATACTGAAAATGATTGTTCTTCTTCATCGGATGATGAAAAAATAGATTCAGCAGTAGTATTATATCGAGATGCGATTGTACTACGATAAAGATGAACAATTGTTGATGCATAATCTAGAGGAAGATTAATTATCTATAGAGAATATTCAAAAAAAAAGAAAAACGTCATAAATCAAAAGAAACAATGGTAGATATTGCATTACTTGTCCAATTGCATTATAATTCTTTACAAATGAACGTGTATATTCTTCCATATTAGCAAGAAGATTAGCATAATGTCTAACAAACATAAAAATGTGTATTATTTATTTTTCAATATTTTATTTTTCGTACCTATCAAATTCTTCAACTTGATTTGAAACAGCTCGAGATGCATGTTGAAATTTTGATGAACATTGTTGTCGTTTATTAGAAACTGGTGCATTAAGATTTGAATTTGAATCATGCAATGATGCACGAAAACGTTTCAAATTTTTGTTATACACCTATATGAGGATGATTTTTTTTTGTTTAATTATATAACAAAATATTTCTACATGCAGCAACATATATTTCGATATAACTTCCAAGGGCATCTCTCCCAGTATCAAATTGCTTTTCGACTGAGATAGTTATCACTTGATGCAGTGTATTATCTAGGATGAGGTCTAAAGACGGATGTGCTTTTCGGAAGTTTAAGTCGTCTCTCCGGAAGAGAAAATCGGGATGAAACACTATTTTGATGAGTGATAGAAAAGCCGAGAATGATTTAATTTTATTCATGACGGAAGTACCGTGAGTGACGGTCGCCGTTCGAGCTTATATGGGACCTATAGGCAGGTTTCAGTGAGTATAGTATAAGTCTAGAAGGGTTTGTCTCCATTGGCACCAAGTTATGGCCGATTTACTAGGTTTTTGGTACAAAGTTTTATCTATAGATAGGTCTAATGACTGATAGAATATCTCGAAAGTTTCAGCGGAAAAGAATGTTCCTCAATCGAGTTATTGGACTGTCAAATGAACACTTTTTTTTGTGACAAAGGGCTAGTTTTGGAAATACAATATCTTGAGAGAGAAATATTCTTTTCCGTTTTCATAACTCAGAGCTAAAGGTCAATGAGAATGAACCCTTTTACGCTTTTGCTATTCTCACTGACACCTGCCTGTAAGTCAGCTATAAACTTGAGCGGCGAGTGCCACTCGAGGTAGTTACCTCGTTAGTAAAATTTCGATATCTTGACAAGAAAGATCTGGAATACCAAATTATTCTTGTCTTTTGTATTACTCATCAAATTAGTATTTCATCCAGATTTCCTATTCCACAGGGACGATTTAAAATTACGGAAGAGCCAACTCTATTTTAAAGTGAGGCGCCTTTCCCTTTGATCCTCACACTGAATAAAATACTACATCAAATGAACATCGTCTCGTTCGCAAAACCAATTTAACACTTGAAGAAGTTTCCTTGTTAGTAACATTTTTTTTTCTAAAAAATTAAACTAGTTTTACCTTAGCTTCTTGTATAAGTTTGACAGCAACATCATTCATATGTTCAATCGCTTGTGCTCGAGAAAGAATATCATTAAACAAATCCTAAAATTAGAATGTTTAAAAATTTTTTTGTTTTTTAATTTTTTTTCCTACAATAACAATTTTTGCCATTCTTTGAAGTTTCTCCATTTCATTTGATATAACTTCAAGAGTTTGCATACGTCTTTCAACTTGATGAAGAAGACGTTTTTCTTGTTCAAATAATTTTCGAAACGATCGATTTGTTTCAATGACTCGTTTAATTGATCGTTTTCTAGAAAAAACTATATTATTTAATAACAAAAACAAAAATGAAAATAAAACCTTTGAATTATTTCTGATATGATTTGTTTCCAACGTGATGATAGGTGTTCGCTAATACGAATTAAATTATCATTACCTAATTGTTTACTTTGTATGAGAAGATCTGTAATTGACTTCTCAAGTATTTGTGAATGATTATGTAATTCATTAAGATCATTTAATTGACGATGAAAATAATTTTCATCGTCAATAAGTGATTTTTGAGATATTAAACGAGTTTCTAATTCAATTATTTGAGATGTTAAATTATTTAGAAGATTTAAAGCATTTTCAGCAATAACCAATCTGAATGAAAATGAAAGACAATTCACAATATTGAAAAATATTTCTATTTTTATTTACTTATCAGAATAATCTTTTGATGTTGTAAATAGATTTTGTACATGATTTGATGTTTGATTAACTAATGAACGTAATTCATGATGTGATATTGTATTATATTCTTGTCGTATTTGATTACGAATATCTTTAATACGACTTGCTTGTGAAAGAAGATTATTTTCAAAATCCTAAAATAAATATAAAAAGAAAACAAAAATAATTCATTGAAAACAAAAAACAAAAAAAAGTTTTTTTTTAAATGTCTCATTCCTCTTCTTTTCGAATAACTCGTGTAGATAAAACGTTTGTATCAAGTGGGACATGTTTGATACGTGTACTTGTTATTGACGGTCTAAGAATCGATCGTTGATGATTAATCATTGAATTTGAATAATTATTTTTATTAAGTTGATCATTTGAAGAATCTCGTACAATTGATCGTGTTTCAATATATGTTATATTTGATGGACCTAATGATGTCAATTTTCGATTATGCCCATCAAGTGCAGGACATGAACCATAATGTTGATGTTCTTTAGTCATATGTTTATGATGATGGTGTTCAGATTTTTCACTGTTATGTTGATGATGGTGTCGATGATGATGTTTATGATGATGATGATGAGGTGGTGGATTATCAAAATTTATGCGTACATTAATACCACGTTCATTAGCTGTTATTGTTGCTGGTTTTGATATAATTCTATCTACTGATGAATAACGCACTGGTAAAATACGATAACTAGCACTGCAAGCTGAACCTGTTGAAGAGAAACTACTTGTTGATGATGTTCGTTGAAGATATGTTTGATGCTGAGAATCAGTGTCAGACATGTAATAATCATTGCTGTTATTACAAGCAAAATGAATCGGCAAATGTCGACCCGTTGTCATTGATGAACGATGGTTATTACGCTGATCAGCGTATGAAGAAGAAAAAGATCGCTGCATTACTTGTTCACAACTGATGGCCTAATGAACACAAGTTATCAATATATGCACACGATGATAGCAATTGAATGCATATGGTCACAAACCGTTGTTATTATTCGTTAAATAACCAATGTTACCGTTAACACGAGTGGTATCAACAGATTCTTTAGTAGTCTTTTTTGTTGTTGATGAGATAGCGTCTATCTAATGGTATTTTTCCTATTTTCTATTTGCGGAGACATTTATACAGACAAATAATACAAAAGAAAAGGAAGGAAAAAGTCTTATCGCCTTCCTCCTCAAAAAAAAAACAACAAGGCTGATTACTATTGATGACCTGTTCTATTATCTTTTATTTATCTCCTTTTTCTTTTTGGTTTTTTTTCTATCGTTAACAAATGCAGCTGACTGTCTTTTTACTATCTGGATAGTTAGCTTGAATGTAGATGGATACATATCAACAGTTAATAGTTGATAGCTCAAGTACATTTTTCATCGTTTGGACTTCTTTATTCGTAGAGAGAAAGGCCTTCTGTTTTTTTTCTTGAAAATCACATATGGTTTCTGATTGAGTAAATCATGCATAGTCTAACCTTATGTTGCTTATACAATGTAAGAAAATGATCATTGGATGTCAGTAAATCAGTTTGTAATAAATGTGTTATACGTTTTTGAAGTAATTGACCAAGTATATTTAAATTTGAATTAATTACATTAAGTTCTTCAACTAAATTTTTTCTATTAGATTGTATTACATCTAAAACAATAAAATTTTTTGTTGAAACATTCAAAGTATACAAATAAACAACTAACCAATATTCTTAGATTGTGATGTATTAACATCTTGTCTAAAATCTCCGGTTACAATAACATTTAGTTTTTCAATATCAGTTGATGGAGAAGAACATGTCTGGAAATAGAAAAAACACATTAGATATAATCAATCTTGTTTATTTTGTAATTATCAAAATCTCTCAAGGCTTCTATTATTCATACATTCAAATTTTCACTTCCAAAAAATGTGATTTAGAAATCCGAGAGGGTGCATCCAACCTTTGAAACACCGACTCCTCAACACTGGATAAAACAGGTATCTTCATTGACATATTTCTTTCTGAACAATGTCATTGAAAAAATCTTGTCTTAGAGAACAACAAATAAACAAAACAATAATGACAGTATCTGACATTTTTAAAACAACCGTTGCTATTAGTAGCAATGTCAAATAAAATCGCTTTTGATTAGCAGATGTGGAGGTAGTTATTAGGCTTTTCTACTTTCATGCACACACACACACGAGTGCATTGGGCAACTGTCACAATTGACGTAATGCAAATCTTGCCGCCATGAATCCTACTTTGCATGGAAAATGTTTTTTTGTTATTATATGAATATTTTAATAAGATTAGTAAAACATTACAATAATATTTTATTGCTACTATATTATGAATTATGTTCTTATTTGAGTGATTTCGGTGCCGAAAATTCGAAATTTTAACAAATTTTTTTCGTTTTCAAATTGTTTTGCGTTATTGAATAGAACACATCGAGTTACCTATGAAAAATAACTTTTTCGATTTTTGAAAAGAAATTTTGACAAAACGAATAAACTCTAAATATCATGATATCTTCTGATATTACAGACAAGATCGACCAAGGAAAAACCGTATATAATTAAGATTTTTTTTGGCCAACTTTGTCTCTAGAATCAGAAAATAACTCTTCTAATGTTCTACAAAAGAAAATGTTTACATATCCGTGATAATGGACGATTCTAACCATGAGATTTATAATTTAATCTTTTTTCATAGACAATTCGATATGCTTTATCTAACGACACTGAATAAATTAAAAACTAATATTGACTAAAATTTTGAATTTTTAGGGCATCTTACAATAACTTTCTTTAATACAAAGTTATATTTGTTTATCTTTATAAAATACAATTATAAGAGAAAAGAATTCTGTAAATGATGCAGAAAAAATTAATTAATTAATCTTAATTTTTCAATGAAAGATAACCAAACGGTCTGAAGGTTACTCATTCCGAAGAAAAATATCTTACAAAACAATCTTTATTGCTTTTTTTTTTGTTTCTATTATGATAAAATGTATGCTATTTTGTTTGTATGATGTCATCAGTAATAAACATCAAGGACTACTGTCGTGTATAGGTCTTTGTGACACGTGCAGAATTTACCAAAAATAATAACCTTGAGGACATCAACTAGACATGTTTGTTATTCTATTGAGCCGCCATATACAACTACTGAGATATCTTGAAGTTTATTGATTTCCTTGACTCAGAATTGTTTTGTTTCTTTGCTTTTGGAAGATTGGATATTTTCTGTTTTATACATATGTTTGTTCTCTTAGATAATTGTATGGCTTTATATTTATTCGAAGAGAAGATATAGAAATAATAGTTTAATATAAACTATTTGAAGAATAGATATTTCAGACATGATCTAATTTCGATAAAAAAAACAGATTAACTTTATTGACATATTTTCTAATCGAGCAAGTCATTTAATTATTCAAATGAAGTTAGATGTTGTTGAATCGAATTTATTATCATATGATAAATTTAAAATCTAACATTATGAATTAGACGAATACTTCATAGAATTATTTCACTTGAACTATACTTAATTTAAAAATATTTGCATTAGTAGAATAATTACAATATTTAATCATATACTTCAACAATAATCTTCTAGAACTTCGAACAAGTGACATTTATTATGCTCTGACATATATTTGTTGATTGAGTTTTTGTTTTTTGTTTTTTTTTGCTTAGAAAACTTTTCGGCCAGTACGATACAACTAGATCTATATGGGTAAGAATATCAAGAAGAAAATTCGCTTTAACTTTGTTTTTTATCATGAGCTGAAATAGGACATGATTGATGATGTCTGAAGTTTGTCAACATCAGCCTTTCGAAACTGTCATTTATTGCAATCATCATCTTTGCTTTTTTCTTCTTCTTTCGATAGAGATTCAATAATTCTATACATTCAATCATCTTTTTTGAAGAAATCGAGTTATACCATAGTAGTAGCGGATATAGAGGGAAAGCGCACTGAGTGCGAGTGCTTATTTCTTTTGAAAGTTATTTTTCTCACCAAGCAACACCCAATAATGATACAATATTAATCTTACTTATTTTTTGAATGATTCGCCTTGGAAAAGAAAAAAGACATTTGTTCTAATTTACTTAATTACCGTTTGTTTTGATATTGGACGAAAATCATTTGTTATTGTTGATGATAAAGTTAAATGAATATTAACACGTAAATTTAATTGATGAATACGTTCAAGAAGATCTTGAGTTTGTTCATTTGATAATAATAATGTTTGACAATGATTTAATATTTGATCTAATTTTATTTGTATTTCATTCATATGATTCATTATTGAAAGAGTATCAAATTGTTTTGACTAAAGAAAAAAATAATGATGAAAATAATATACAAAAAAAAACATAAAAAGATGAATTTAAACAAACTTTTATTTCAATATTTGTAATATCACGTTCAATTAAATCTAAATCAATTATTAATTTTTTGTATTTTTTAAGATCATTTTCAATTTGATGAAGATTTATTTCAAGTTCATTCCAAGCTAAATTTATTGATTCAATATCAGGTTGTAATGATTCATGGAATTGTAAAGTCTAAAACAAAGAGAGAAAAAAAACAAACTCGCATGATAAAATCAGAATTTTGCCAACTCCTAGAAGCTTTTTTAAAATATATAGAGCATGAAAAATCATGTTCTTCTGCATTTCGTAGATTTGATTTTTATATATGATGATAGGAAGTCGATATTGTTCATCAGTTTGTATATTCGGAGAAAATGCATGATTAGGAATTGTCACGAACGACTTTTTTTTTCTATCTATAAATATTTTTCTTATTAGATATTGCGGCTTGACGCGCTTTTCTTCGCTCTACAAAACTCATATAAACACTTGATCAATTCTGTTTCTTCGCTGAGAAAAATATATAGTTCAGAATGTGGTAAAAACGACACTAGTGCGACTACTTCTTCTCTTCAAAAATGTCGAAAATTATCCAAATGTGAAGGTCTTTAAATTTATTTAGTGAAACATTAGGACTCGAGAGGATAGAATTTCGACGGTTCTAGAAAATATTTAAATCTATGTCGAAAAATCTTCATTTTTTTTCATTCTTGAGATTAAAGATTTAAGTATATATGTATTATATTGTTTTGTTTAAGTACTGAAATATGTAGCACTTTTCAAAAAATATTGAAAATTTTCATATCTATCTAATGATTTAACGGTTTCGATTCCAAGCAGCATTTTCTGAACCCGTCAAACTTTATCGGCAGGTCTAAAGTTTTTGCACTTGAACCGGACGAGCTGCGTAAAATATCCTGTTTTCGGTTAATTTCAAGATATTGTTCAACTATGTTTGCAAAAGCCAATGCTTGAAAACAAATGTCTACTTTACAGTCGAGTTCAACATCAAAAATTGATTTGAATGGTATATTTGTCGACAGGAAGATCTCTGTATTCTTCCTCGGAATTTTTTTTCAAAATGTTTTTCTGTGATGTGTTTTCGGAGGAAAATATTTTTCCGAAAAACATACATCGTTCGATCTAGTTTTTGATGCTGAACTCAATTTTAATGTCGAAATATTTCTTCAATGCAGTGAAAAAATAAAACTTAGCAAGTGTCTATATGAGTTATGTAGAGTGAAGAAAAGCGCATTAAATCAGTATTCAATATGAAAAATATTTATCGATAGAATAAATTCGGTCATAATAATTTTTAATGATGTATTCAATCCGGATACACACACAGATGAGCAATATCGATCGACTTCCTATCATTAATAAAAATCAAATCCATCACTTCAATAGATGTAGAACAGCATGACTTTTCATGTTTAATGTATTTTAAAATTTTCTAGAAGATGACAGTTCCACTATATTGTCATGAAAGTCCTATTATTAAGACTTAATCTTCTTTTACCTTAAGTTCAACATCAATCGATCGTAATTGATGTAATAATTGATTATATTTTGATAATTCATCATTTTTTATTATTTGTAAAATATTTTCAAATGTTTGAAATTCTTGGAGAGTTTTAAATTTGATTTCACGATTTAAAAAATCTAATTTCATTCTTATCCATTTAAAAAGATCAGATGCAATATTTATATATCTCGACGATAATTCATCTTGAAGTCGAATCTAATAAAATCGAAAAAATATTTATTTAACAAAAAAATTAAAAAAAAGAACAAACTCGATCATGTTCTTGTCGTAATGGATGAATTGGTATTGTTGGACAAGCTTTATATAAATAGGCAATATATAGTAAAATACTTTTTTCATCAGATTCATCAGTATCGATATCTAAATATCAAAGAAAAAAATCACAAACAAATGTTTTGTTCTTTTTTTTTTTGAAGTAAGTAAAGTTACCTTCAGGATCGATAAGTTGTGTAATTCCATAATGTTTTTGTGCGAATTCAAAAGCTTGAGTAAGATTTTCTCGATTTGAACGACAATATGCTTGTTTCATATCAATTAAATGTGGACTGAAAACAAGAAAATGATCAAATAGAAAAACAAAAATTATCTTAGAAAACTAACTTATGTCGATGAAGTATGGCAAGAAATGCTCGACCATTACGCCATGAACGGGTAAAATCTTCAATATAGATTCCTGGATAACCTTGACATTGTTGACGAGCCCATATTAATAACATATTACGATAATCTAATGGTACTTGATCGATTGATAAATTTTTAGAAGAATTTTTTGTTGATATTGATTCGGATGATGGTATTGTTCGTTGACAATTTATTGAAATATTCTCATTGGATGAAGGTAAATTTAGATCAGAAAACTAGAATGAAAATTTTTTAGTATAGAAAAAGAATGAATTTCATTAGGAAATGATTAGACAGTAATTAAATTGTGTGTTTTTTTCAAAATTCATATTTAACAAATAAAAGTTCTAGACTCAAACTCAATTAATTTGACTTTCCATGATTTCTTAAAATTATATGATCTATTGCCAAAAACAAAATAAGTGTTTCCAATAATTGGTTTCGTTGTATTATACTTGCAATTCTCATAGATATTCAATTTACATATGAACTGTACAAGAATAAATACTGGTGAAGTTATTTCGGTTTTAATGGAACTTTTCCTAACCAGGAAACTAATCGAACTGTAACCCGTCGGGCGAATTCATATTGAACAAATAAGAAAGTTCCAGTAAGACTACAAAAATTTTAAAAGAATTTGTGTCCAATGGACCTCTGGCACCGAGTTATGACCATTTTACTATAGTTTCGGCCTGCAGTCTTACCCATAAATAGGTCTAATGATCCTGAGAATACCCTAAGATATATGAACATGAACTCTTTTAGAATTTTCCCAGTCTTCTCAAGACATCCTTCTGGGTTCAATAAGAGTTCAAACGGCAAATTACTAAATAGGGTAATTCCTTTGTGAGAGCGAGAAATTTGCGAAAAGACTTGAAACAAAGAGTTTCGAACTAAAATTATGCCTTTAGGTATAATTTATAGTCATTAGATAGGTCCGAAAGTTTCAATGAAAACGAACATGTCTTTTTTCGAGATATTCAATTTCCAAGTGGACTTTATGACTGCATCTCCTATGGCAAACTACTAGTTTTTTGAAAATAAAATATCTCAAGAAAGACATGTTCATTATTGTCGAAACTTTCAGAACTATCTAATGACTACCAAACGTATCAATGAGCTAAATTTCATTAAAACGGTCAAAATTTGTCACTAATGGGCCATAGATCCGAACTCTTTTAAGTTTGTCTTAAAATGGAAGACTTTGAGCTACACATGGCGTGCATCGAGCGAGATAATGGTTTTTTGTATGATATTTACAGTACATGTGAGATATCCATAAGTCAAAATTTTAGCATTATTCATTTGCTTTTTTCCATGATGGTTCGACGAAGTTTGTCAAGTTGCATAAGAAAAAGTGTGTTTCAAGCTTAAAAATAACCTTGAAAAGATTTTTATAAAAGTTAGAATTTTTTTGGTCTATTTTTCTTATATTTGAAGATGATGGCATCTTGAACCTTTTCCATTAATTGTGTTTACAATTGAAACCCACTGTTTCTTATGCAACTTGATGAACTCTATCCAACCATCACAGAAAAAAAATGTTAAAATTTTGACTTTTATATATATATATCTCAAATATCCTGTATATACCATAAAAAATATATTATCCCGCTCAGTACATGCTATGAACAGCTCATGCTTTAAATTTTTTTGTTAGTTTAGTAGTAAGAGCTCTAATTTGACCAGCATATATCCAACGTTCTCAACTAACGGTACAACACCTTCCATTGTTAGTTCTAGGGGAACCTACTTGTAGTCATGTTAAGAAGTAGAATAGTGTCCGACAGCTGGATATGCTCCTTCATCAATTCTAATATATAGATAGACACTCGTATGTGTTCTACTTGTTTACACTAATGTTTTATTGATGAATGTAGCCACTGAATTTCTTATGAAATCCAGGTATTTGAAGAATTGTTTCTAAATTGATAATCTTAAAGGTCTATTCATGAACTTCTTTGGTCTCTATTCTCTTTCTTCTTGTTTGATAGACTAATTAACTTACTTGAAAATGAAGAATAATACGCCAAATGAGCCCTAATGTCAATTTAGGATTACCATTAACTAATTCTTCAGGTCGGATATTTACCAGACGAATCTAAATCTCCATCAAATAAACAAAAACATCTGTGATATTTCTCATAACTTACATTATGATCTTGTTCAAGACATTGAAGACATCGTTCAATATTTCTTAATGCATGAAATTTTGATGTACCTCGTTCTCGGGGCTATATGAAAAGATTTTCTTTGAGAAAGTTTTCTTCCAACAAAAAAAAAACAACAACAACAACAACAACAATAAACTTACAATTGTTTGATTAGTAAATATTTCTAGTAAAGATAATAGTAAATGTCCATCTCTTAAATCAAGATATAAATCATCAACATATAAACCATTTCTTTGTAAGAAATAAAAATTCATCCATTTTGTAAATGTTTTTTTCTGTACAGCATCACGTTGGTCAGCTACTTTTAAAACTCGTCGATCAGCTGGATCCAACGCAAATACTGATATTGGTTTTTCTAATATCCAATCTTGATCATCAATTTCTTCAAAGAAATTGTTATTATTATTATTATTATTATTATCAGTTACCATTTCTGTTAACATCTAGAATAAGAAGAAAATATGATGAATAACTTTGAACATAATATAAATAAAGAACAGAAACAATCTGGCATCACAGTCGGATATATAATGAATAAAGATGAACGAGAGACAACGGAGAAAAGAACAAGAATAGAAAGAAAAAAGAGTAATGATGAAAAAATGTATACGTGCTTTAGTTTCATAAAAAAATGATACGACCTTTCGACCGTTCTATATACAAAAGCTTCCGTTCATTTATGTTTATTTTGATGAAATACGAGTGTGAGGTGTTAAATCAATTGATTGTTTACCGAAATCTTCTTTATTATTTGTTTTAATATTAGATATTCAAACAAACAATCAACAGCACTGTACTCTCATACTTACATCAATTTAATTTTGAAACAGACAAAAGAAAAACATATCTCTCAGCAATGTTTATCATTGTTTGATCATTTGCATATCGAAAATAAAAATAGTGCCAGTTAAATGAAAAGGTAGTGATAATAGTAATAGTCGTATACACGTGCATGCATAGAAATGACATATATGTATATATAAGACGAAGAAACATTTGGCCTATAGGATGAATAATATGAATAAAACCAATAAGATCAATCCGATTTCGATGGTGATAACAAATTATTTAGATTGTTGGTAAAGATTACCTGAAGGATAAATTTGATTTATGACATGATAAAATAAACATCGGCAACACGTTCTATGTAAAATGTTAACGCCTTTAGTTCAAAAGAAATCATCATTAAGATAAACACATTTTAAGATCGTAGAATGCTTTATCAAAGAAATAATGAAAATATCAACGTATCAAAACTTGCTCAAATAGTTTTCTTTCAATTGATAAATGTCCTTGCATCGACCGATTAGTAAATATAAATGGAACAACAATTATTTTCTACTTTATTGTCAATAGTTAAGGTTGAAAAATGTGAGATGAATTACACGACGAAAGAATAATGAATAATAATAGAAGTAATATGACATTACTAGGTTTTCTTTACCTGAAGAAACAATTTTTTTGTTTTTCCTGTTAATTAATCACAATTTCAAATTCTTGAACATGAGACTGAGATGTATAATTGAATGTTTTCTTTTTTTTTCTTTTGTATACTAAGAATGTCTTTCACATAAATGTGTTAATTGATTAATAACATTGATAATAGAACAAATAAGACAAGGTCTTCACATCTGCCAATGTTCGATCTCGTTGATAGACGTGATTGTTTAGTGAATTTTCATGAGAAGAATTAAGTTTCTAGACAAAATCTTTGACTATTTTTCGAGTATTGACATGAATTGGTAGTTCATTAGAATTAGACTTTTATGTTCTTTCAGAATATATACTTAGAATTTTTCTGTATATGTTGACTTTTTAGCTATAAGAACATCTTCATAGAACTCAAAAGAAATTTCCCAATTTTAAAGATAACGCATCGATTTCGTTAGAAGTAAGTATTTATTTAATGTTTTTCATATATTTAAAAACATAGAATTTATCGTAACACGAACTACTAATCTGATATGAAAATAAACGAAATAGAATCTGTTTATGTGTGTTCTTCACTAATGCTTTATGTCATTTTCGAAACAATGTGGAGCGGAAGTCGTACTGGAACTAAGATGCCTGTTGTTTTCTATTATTTTTGCAACTCGTTTGATGAACTTGAAGATAATACAATAAAGCATTGTCGCATCAACTAAACAAGAAAAGATGTAAATGCTATTTGAGTAATATGGCAGACATGTTGCCATTAGACATAGCGAAACAAAATTCCTAGAACAGCCAGAATACAACTTCATTTGCATTTACGAAGGAATCTCTTCAATTGGAAGTCCTCGTTTTCAATCAAGTTTATGCCAGTTTTGTCAAGCTTACTTAGCTGATCAAGATAACATAATGAGTTCTTCCTCAGAGACTCTTTCAGAGGAGTTAGATCGATCTCTACTAGAGAAAAATAACTGTAATTCATGATTTTGGAAATTCAGATTTTTTTGTGTTAATTCACTTCTTAGTGTTTTGAACAGTTTAATATTGTAGATATAAGAAATTCAACTATTGTTTTCAAAATTGATCAAGATTCTCTGAAGATACAATTTTAGAAATGTGTAGTAATGAAAACCTTGTCTGATTTCTCAATTTTCAATAATTGAAATTCTATTAAGTTGCTTTCTCGCATCTTTATGTGAATAAGTACAATAGCTACGATTGGTAATCAAAACATAATCAATACGTCCTAAATAGATGAACATACATTTGGAACTTGAGGAATTTCTTATTTTCATAGTGTTAATGATATTAAAATGTTTAAAATATAGACATTGTTAGGAATTCTATTCATATTGATTGTAGTTAATCAATTAAATATAGGAATTTTTCTTAAGTTGAGATCAATTTCATTCCTTCAGGGCAGCTTATGGAGAACAACGTATTATGTCATCGTAATCATCTCACTGACGTGAGCCCTGAAAATTAGCATAAAGTCGATTGAAAATGGAGACTCATAGTTCGAGATCTTCTCTCGTCAATGAAAGAATAAATCATGAAACAAAATTATGGGAGCAGAATACACACTCCATTCGCGATTATTCATTGTATTAATTTATCCATCCAAATTGATGAATATAATAAACTAAAACCAACAGTATTTTGTCATTGCACATGACCAATTCATACCACTTATAACTAGAAGAGTGATATCATACTAAATGATTCAATACAAGAAAGAAAAGATCATGGATAATTTTTATTAATCAAATATACTCAAACAACTTACAAGGGACATCCGAAAAGCTTTTTTTGCTAACCCCTTAGACAAATATTCGGCAGTTGGTTTTAGTATATTGCTCCTCATGAACAATGTGCTTGTGCATTTAATTAAACCAGATCATGGAGGTATTCCATGTTGTTGATATGTGGCGAATATGGTAGATTTGAATACGGTTTCATATTATATTTTGCCGAGAAATCCGTTGATATCTCAGGCTTTTCGTAGTCTTTCATTTTCATCACGAAAACTTAGACTTTCAATACCAATCTTTTATTTCTTTGCTGATACAGTTTCAAAACTTGCATTAGGCAACTACTGGCAGGCTAACTTTCTTTTATTACATCATCTGACACAACATAGAAACTCATCTCTTCAAATCTATTAAGTCAATGATCAGCCAATCGAATATAAAACTACTTTCAATCAACAATGACTTAACAAAACACACATCGAGCATAAAAGTTTGTAGAGCTTTAAACGAATGAATATAATTGAAATAGCTACTGATGAAATAACGATCAAAGTATCCTATATTCATTCGTATGTTCACTTCTTGTTGGAGCAGAATTAAAAGTTTTCTCCGGTTACATCAATTGCTGAACTATTTAAATGGGTTATATTTTCAATGCTGAAAAGTAATCTGTTAAAATTAATGAAATAAATTGATTACTATATGATCTGAAAGTGTTATGTCGTTCCCTCATGCTCATATTGAATGGATATAACTTTTCTTGTTGGTTGAATGTATTTACTGGTCATTTAAAAATATGCTTTGAAAATGTTCTCGTAAGAATTCAAAACGCATGTTGAGAATATTTTCGAGTAACTCGTAGCCCGTCGAATGGTATATATAGGAAATTACTTTTTCATGAAATTTTAATGATCTTCGAAGCACCTATATGAAAATTTATTTAAAGTGTTTTTGGTAGTTTTGCCTTGTCTTCAGCCGTGTGCATCTCATAATACTCACAATAGCTTTCTTCGTACCTAAAACTTTAACAGTCTTACTTATAAATGTCATCTTTGGCATTGATGATGTTTTAAACTGTTCGATACTGCTCCTGAGAGAAAGACAATCGACCGTGAAACTGTGTACCATCAAGCTCTAGAAGTCTATCAATTGTTTGTCTTCTGAATTGCTGTGCGTCATGATCAAATTGGTCAATCAAGACCTACGAAAGACCTATTGTTTGATTCGAAAGGACCGTAAAACTCATATACTTTTTTGTATTTACATCTTGAATAATCGATCCTTTTTAAACATTGATTGACCGATTTGACTATTAGGCACTTCAACTCAGAGAACAATCAATTCGTATACTTGTAGCACTCGATGGCGCACAATGTTTGAGAAAGTTTTCGGATTGATTGTCTTAACTCTCAAGAGCAGTATCGAACAATTTAAAACATCATAAAAGCCAAAAGTTATCCAACTACATAAAAGAACTAAGCTTTTGAATATGAAGAAACCTATTGTAAGTATTATTAGATATACATGATTGAAGACGAAACCAAACTTGAAACAAAATTTCATATAGGTTGATTTGGAATCATACTGAGCCTGAATATTTGGTTATATGACCCATAATTGTTATAATATTCTTTAAAGGGTATAGAACTTCTCAAAACATTAAAGCTTGATGAAAAAACGATTACATATATACCATTCGATGTGCTACGAGTTTCTGTAAAAAATGGTATCAGCTGCTTTTCAAATGAAGGGTAGCCATCTTATCCAACAGGGTTTTAGGGGAAAACCTATTAGCTTGTCTCATGTAATCAAATCAGTCTAATATCAAATATTAGAATTTGAATGACAAAGCAAAAAAAAAATAGACATTTGAACTTAAAAAATGTTTATGAGTATGTCCTCGATATTTATTGTTTATTCTTTTTTCATATGTATCAATTTTCTTTTTGTTATTGTTGTTTAATTACAATCACAGATGACAAATAAATCAAAAAAACAACAAAAACAAAAAAATCAACGGAAACAATAACCGTTCTTTTAAAGTTGATAACCGTACTGTTGAAGTACAGCAAGATGTTTAGCAACTTGTGGTTTTGAAGCTACTTTTTTTGTTGCATCTGCTTTAAGTTTTTTCAATTCACGTCGTCGTAAATGAAAATGTTTAGCCTTTATTTTTCGTTTTTTTTCTAATGTTGCAACAACAGTTTGATATTGCCAACCAACTTCAGTTGATAATCGACCAAGTTCAG